ACACACACACACACACACACACACACACACACACACACACACACACAAATTCAGTTCCACATAATACATAATTTAAAGATAACTTTTAAAAAAAACAACTCTCTGAAGGCTTTGGGACCTTAGACCAAGAAGAAATCATCAAGACCAACAAGGAGAGAAGACAAGTTTATCAGAATAAATAACACATCCAAGTTTTCCTTCCCCCAAAAGGGAAGAGCCGAAGAAAGAGAAGGGAGAGGGGCTCAGCAGTGAGAAACAGAGCTGGGGAGAATGGTTCCCACATCCGCCAGTGCGTGAGCGCGCAGGAGGCATTTCCAAGAGCGTCAGCCTGGGTGGCCAGCCGCTGTGCTGAAGGGAATGCCGTGTCCCAGGCCCCAGAGCCCACCCAGACTCTCAGGTCAGGCTTGCTGACCCCTGGCCTAAAAGTGTAGGTGGGAAATGTCACTAGAGTTTTTTTCATTGCCTCTTCCAGTGGGACAAATCCTAGACTGGATAAGAAATTTCTGTTTCCAAAAGCTATGTCAATTGTGTTGATTTTATAATAATAATACATTATATAAAGTCTAGGAATCTATGTTCTTTTTGAAATCACTGAAAATGTAAGTGTGGCATGCAAATATTTTTAAACTTAAGCTACTGAATGTGCATTTTAAGGGTAATTATCCTTAGAAAAAAATAATACATGAACATAATTTGAAAGCTAGTATATATATTCTTACCCTAAAATTAAGTTTGTCTTTTATTCCTGTTATAGGTATCATATTTTATCAGGAGTTCCTTGGCGCAGCTTTTCTAACTGTATTTATATATATTTTTGGGTGAGTAGATGTCTCATAAGTAAGGAATGTGAAATCCTATTACTTTTATGTGGGATTTTTGGCATTATATCTGAGGTACAGAAGATTGGAAGACAATATAAGAAACATTAGTTTCCTGAGCTCTTAAAAGAAACATAGTTTTCAATATAACACCCTCCGCAGGACTCTGTGTCTTTGACTTGGTAATTTGGGTCTCTCTCTGAGGGTTCTGAACCTGGGGATTTTCAGTTCCAGCCCAGGTCTAGATAAATCCACCATCAGCTGTTGGAGCTATCCATGACCTTTCCGTGCTAAATCAGACCTATCTCGCTCTTGGAAATTTCTTGGTTAGAACTCATTCAGGAACCACAGATGCCTCTAGGATTCCCTAGAATAAAAGGTTAAGTCTGGGGCAGATTTTTAGCTTTGGACCTAATAACATCAGATTGGTAGTATCCCTTTCCTGTGTCTGGGTGCCCATCTTTAACCCTTCCTGGAAATTCGGTTGGCATCATTGCTGACATTCTTGCAAACAGAGAGCAGAACTTTGACAGAATATCACCCATGTCTAAGATCTTCTGTTGGTTCCAGCTGGCACTCCATTAATGCTTTGCTGTTTCTCGCTCTGGTGTTCTGCATGACCATTATTATGCAGACTTGAGCCCAGGCTATTTTCAGCGTAGAAAACCATCTAGCTTGAAAATTCAATTTCATAAGATACTTGGGCAAGCCTAAACTTCTAGGATCTGGAAACTATGACTATTCTTATGGCCAAGGACAATTAGATTTCTTAGAAAATTAAAGAAATATATATATTTCTTATATATATATATATGTA